AAAAAAAAAGTGAATACATATTTAAAAAATAAAATAAAATAAATAAAAAATCAGCCATTAAAAAAATCTCCACTTATCATCGTTCTAGCTTTCCTAAGGTTTGTACAAAAGATATCTATATCATGCTTGCTACTGATGTCGTTAAAAGTACGACAGGCTCGACACAAGAATGAGTTTTGCCTGTAGTTACTATTTGCTACCGGAGCACAAAGAGGTGCGTGCTTCCTAAAGGATTTCGACGGAACATTGAGGGACAACTTTTCAAGGAGTTCAGGGCAGTCAACTCTACCATTCGCTATGGATAGGATGTAAGTAACATCAGCTATCTCGCGACGTTTATAAAGTGGAAGAAAGTGAAATTGTTTACAGAGTTTAATATAGTTATCATACCCAGGTTTATTAGGAATTGCCAAACGAAAGCACAAGAATTTAATGAATTTCCTTTGAATCCTTTCAATTCTTGCAATATATTTATCATATCGGGGATTCCATATTTGCGATCCGTATTCAAGTATGCTTCGCACATATGCACAGTATAGAATTTTGAATGTTTTTGCATTCTTAAATGGGGCTGTCGATCTCATAATAAAACCCAAAGACCTCGATGCTTTTGCAATTATTTTCTCAATGTGCTCGTCGAATAGGAGTTTCGAATCGTGTACAACACCTAGATCACGAACCGAATAGAGTCTACCAAGCAGATGGCCCTTGAGGTAATATTGGGTGGATACATTGTTTTTCTTTCGACTAAAGGTTACCACAGAGCATTTTACCGGATTAAGATCTAATTTGTTTTGTAAACAATACCCATCCAGTCTACCAAGATCTTCCTGAAGGCGTTTAGCATCCGCCGCTGACCTGATCGTTGTGTAAATTTTCATGTCATCAGCAAAGCAAATAACTTTGCTATGGTGGAAGCAATCGACAATGTCATTCACAAATATCAAAAACAGCAACGGACCAATTAGAGAGCCCTGTGGAACACCGCTGGGTATAGTAACCCAGCCAGACATATAGTTGTTGATAACGACAGCCTGAGATCTCTTATCAATGTACGAAGAGAACCATCTAAGTAAATCACCCCTTATACCGATTTTTTGAAGCTTACGAAGCAGCATACTGTGGTCTATTCTGTCAAAACATTTACTGTAGTCAGTATAGACCACGTCGACCTGGAAGCCTGCATCCATGGACTGGGATAGATAGTCGTTAAAAACAATTAGGTTAGAATTTGTAGAACGACCCTTCACGAATCCATGTTGACTGCAGTTGAGGGATTGTTTAATTGCAGAATAAACCTGGGTATACACGACTTTTTCGAAAATTTTAGAAATGATACACAGTTTAGATATTGGTCTATAGTTCACTATATCAGTTTTGGAGCCTTTTTTGTGAACAGGTGTAATAAACGCACATTTCCAAATTTGAGGCACCCGACAGCAAGACAGAGATTTTTGAAATAAGAGGAATACAGGTAAGGCTATACTATCACTAGTCTTGATAAGGAATATGGATGTGACATTGTCTGGACCAGCAGATTTACATGGATCCAGCCCCGATAAAAGCCTTCCCACATCTGCTACCGTGAAGTCCACACGGTCAATGTCTGAGGGTTGACCTATCTCAGATGGATCACAGTTCAGTGAGGAGTTACTAAAATCGATTGACTGATTCAGGAAAGTTGACAGAAAATACTCAGAAAACGCGTTACATATTGACTCGCCAGAAGTTAAAAGCTTATCTGAGTACCTTAAGCTACTGGGTATATTATTACAACCTGAGCGTGCTTTGTAATAGGACCAGAAATGTTTAGGATTAGACGCGATAGAATTTTCGATAGATTCTGTATACTGCTTGTAGCACCGCCCTTCAAGTCGTCGAGCCCTATCGCGCAACAGTTTAAAAGTCTCTGCATCTGATTTACGCTTATACGTTTTATATTTATTGAAATATTTTAGTTTTTCTTTTAAGACTTTACGTAATGATGTACTGTACCAAACCGGGTAAGAATTACGATTAACAGATTTAATGGGAATATGTTTGTCACGAAGATTGTTTACAGAAGTATAGAAGAAGGCCACCGATTCCTCTAGCGTAAGCTTGTGAAATTCGGTAACCCAGTCAACCCTAGAGATCTCTTCATTGATAGAAGTATAGTCACCCTTATTATATAGGTATTTTTTCTTTGGTTTAGGTGGTAAAAATGATAACTGTACGAAATTAATTGTTATGGATAGTGCTTTGTGATATGGATCAATTGGTACTAACGGGTCGTCCACGCCAATAACGGTCACTGAGTTGTTCGAGTAAACAAGGTCTAGAATCCTACCATAATTATTTAAGACTCCATTGTATTGATAAAGGTCGTGTAACTGCATCTCATCAACTAGTAAGTATTCGTCGTTATGTGATAAGTTTGAGGGTAGATAAAAAGAATCGCTTGTATGTAGCCAGTCAATACCGCTTAGATTAAAGTCGCCCAAAACGATGAACTTATCTTGAGGATTGTTCAAAATTGTATCGTTCAACTTAAGTAGATAATTTTGTAATTGCTCAGTAAAAGAAAATCCTTGACTTTCCCTACAAAGATATAACACACAGATGTTAATTTTAGTTATCATATTACGGCCCTGTTTTATTGATAATGTTACCCACAGATCCTCTGCCGATGAATGAAATGACTCGCGTGAAACCACAGGAATATCAGTCCGTACCGCAATTAATACGCCCCCTCCCCTTGTCTGGCCAGTCCTACCATAATCACGATCTCTTCTCCACACTGTATATCTGTCATCAAATAATTCTGAGCTATTGATACCATCTAAAAGCCAGGTTTCAGTAAGAACTATCAAGTCGTAATCATTTAAGCTTAATGTTGTAGAATTTATTCCATTAGCCTGTAACATGGGCGATCTGCTGCTATCTTGAGTTCAAGCTCTGATGGATCGATTCGTGTTGAGTCATCACATATTTATTTTGCAGTGGCGGAGGGGGTAGCGGAGGGGGAGGAGTCTATTCACGCTGCGCATACGCAGCTGGTTCACCATACTTCGGTAACGGTGCCGAGATAAGCACGCAACCGCAGATCTGGACATCTAGTGCAGGTACAGTGAGACAGCTCGGTCTCAAGTGGCCGTCTTCGGGATGCTGTCGGTGTGCTATGATGTAACGTGTGAGTCTGCCTTGCAGGAGGATCCCCCAGCTACGGCGGCGGCGGCGGCGTGGTGCTGGGTGAGGAGTACGCGGAGGGCGGCGGCCAGGAGGGCGCGGGGGGAGGCTCGCTGCCAGCCTTTAGCGCGCGCTTCGGAGGCGCCTTCGCGTGCGCCACCTCGCGCCCCAACACCGTGTACGGCACCAGCACCCTCACCGCGCCGCCGTACTCGCACCAGGTCAGCTTGGACTCTACAGTGATACACCCCTACACCTGTCCACGGACAGTTATCCGTGACATAATATATCCTGCATACGACCTGCACCAACAAGCCGCTTCATCTGTTTTCAGGAGGTTTGGAACTTGGAGAGCAGTCGACGACCACAAATGTCTGCAGCTGCCAGTCTTTCTGCCAGTAAGTCGTACATCACATACTTTTCACGCAGAACTTAAATGATATCTGAATATCTGTACTAATCTTTAGTTCTCTATAATAAACTGCATTGCATAAAATACACAAAAAAGGACGTAGTTAAGTATTTTATGCCTCAGGCTCGCATCTGCGACCGACTCGCAGACACCTACTAGAGTTGGCGATAAACACATGGTGACTAAACAACACAATGATTGTGTCGCGTGTTGAAGTTCACTCGGATGATTCACAAGCGGCTGGGCTTACAATGTGTACACAGTACACACAATACTTCCTAATATAAAAATACATCAAGCCGTTTGTACCTCCTGGAGGGAGATTCGTCGTCAATTTTAAGCAGTTCTGTAAAATAGTTTAGTACACATTATGGAAAATGGAAACCAATGTTTGTAACATAGGAAAGGTAGGAATTAAAGCTGTCCAAATGTCCATAGCTTCAGGATCAGCATCTGCGCTTGACGCTGCCATATTGTCTATAGTCCAATAATTCAGTCAGTCCAAGTAGTTACACAGGACCTTCGAACAAGTTACATACTTAGTAGGCACACAAAAACAATATTACAAAAACGCCTTTACATCAAAATCAAAGGTCCTTACTTATTCCATATGTTTAGGAACGAGTGCTGCCGCACATATATAATTAAATAGTGGATCTATTTCTGAATAATTCGAGTCTTTTAGTCTTAATTCTTCTAGATTCAGGCATAGACTAGAATACATTACCCTATCCATGGTCTGCGTTGATGCTTCTTGATCGATAGTCACAAAATATCACACTTACCTTTGCACAAGAAACGACAAAAACATGAAAATTCTGGAAGTGTTCTGGGGAATAAAAGTAACAGCAGAAATCGAATAACGGCTTCAGGCTATTTCTCATTGGATAAATAACTTTAATAAACGGTTCCCCTTCGTGTGGATGTGCACAGTTACCCGCGTCGCACGTCGGCGTCAACAAACATCGCGGCGATAAAAAATTAGAAGTTTTGATGTTCAGATACGATCATAGATAGCAAAAGAGGGGTTCAGTTTCGGGCCGGGGAGAGGGTTGAGGGGACCGGGGGGAGGGGTCGTGTCATGTTTTTGTGGCAGGCTGGCAGGTCACGCCGCGATAGCCCGGCCCGCGTTACAGCGCCCGCGGTACTCGTACTGCTGCGCCCGCGCATCTCCTAAACTTCCGCCATGTTTTTATACATGAACCGATAGATAAGTATTCCCAAAAAATAAGAGACGATAAACACAGTTCCGACAATATTTACGAGCGTTCGCGTGACGGCCCGTGTCATAATTTAGAGAGGCCACTTAGACCTTCATCCGTCTTCGCGGTACAACGATCTCGATTTTATTACTGTTTTGTGACCCTTCAACTGCATTCATATTATTTCTCTGAATAGACTTTGATGAAAAAATACTTCAACCTGTTCATGAATATTAATACTTAGGAAAGATAGAATTTTGCGAGCGCGCACACGTTATATTTGAATCACATTGTAGTAGAAAGACATTAATTGTTATACTCGATTAAGGGTATAGTGTATGTATATGTAGATATGTACGTGTGTGTGTGTAGTGATAGTATGTATACTTTGTATTTCTCAACACGTATGTGTGTATATTTTATATGTAGAACTGTTTATAATATTGATCAACGTCGCCGTTCTCACATACTTTGGACTCACCAGGTTTAAACATACATATAACGTAATCCACATCTGGGAAACTTATTTGATTGAAATACATTAACCATGGAGTTTGTTAATCTTTCTACACTCTGAAACGAGCCGATACCTCCACGCGGGGACAACAGACAGACTGACATCGTCATATTAAATGATTTTATTTATCTAAAACCGAACCAGTGCCACGTGTTGCTCTGCAACGACTGGACTGCTGGCCATCACTACTACAAATTATTAACTTCATTAGTTGCAAACTGTAGGTGAAAATGTAGCGCGATTCAAGTCTAATACTCTGTTATTGAACGAGAATTAACGTTGAAATATTATTAATTTACTTACACTTTTTAAGCAAGCTGTCTGTACCAAGTCCCATATAGTTCAGAAGACAACTACTTTCGAAACCAAAGATCATGGCTCGGTGTTTGAACCCGTCGCCGTCGTTCTAGGATTGTGACGATGTGAATAGACAGTCGGCACAATAATACGAAGGGACTTTCTTGAAATTCTACAAAGTATTAAACATTCTCAAAATCCGACTTCCTAAGTTGTGTTTGAATATTGTAGTACATTTATAAATAACTCTAACATTGTCGCTTTGTATTATTCACGGAGTCGAGGTCATTATTTGGATGACGACTATTTTAATATTAACAATAACATTCCTGTTTTCCGTGACTTGGACATCTAAACCAACATGTTAAAGAAAACGCGGCGCGGCGAGTAGAGCGGCATGCGGCAGCGTGTTACAGTAGCGGTCTCGCGAACAAGCTCCATGCAGCACTTGTCTAATTAGTACTTTAGTATTGTTCGCGGTTTTCCTGCTCAGTGCAGCCGAGCCATTGATGTATGGAGGCTCGTTGGAGCCGGCGCCCTCGTAAACTAGCGACAGTCGCGCCGCGCGTCGCTCCGACTGTTTGCATAGGTCGCACCAAACAAACCATGTCTTGTTTTAAAATGAAGTCGTTCCTTTTTAAGCACATTAAAATCGCATTCCGTAAATGGTATCGGATAAGGCACGTGCCGCGCAAACAGTCGCGCGTCCGGCCGCAGCCGAGTCTTCTGCTATCGCTACAAACAAAGCGGGCACAAAAAACAATCGTCGACCACGTACAGGCCGCGGCCGTGTCTCCGCATATTTGCTGACTGACACTAATGTGCGGTGTTATCACGCGCGCGCCGCCAGATGGAGCGTTATCGCAGCAGGACCAGCGCAGCGCCTTCCGAGTTCCGACACTACCATTAGGACATAGCTGGCCAGTGACGTCACACGCGACCCTTCCTTGCCGCTACAAACATACCAGACCATGTAACTAACCAAAGCAAACTGAAATACACAAGAATAGAAATAAAGGACAAACGCGTAATAAAATGAAAAACTGAATACAACTCAGTCCCTTCAGGAAGTACTTGGTATCACCCGAGAAAGATTTTGATTAGTCTCGCTAGCTGCTGCTATTGTTTCAGTCAAGAAGAAAAATGTTACGTGAACTAGATTAGTTCCTAGGTCGCATTCAGCAGCATTTGGACATCACGCAAACTCAAACAAAAAGGATCCAAATAAACACGTTGGTATAAAGGAGCATACAGTTAAAATAGTTAGAGTCGGAATGAGGTCCGCTTGCTTTAATGGCATATTGTAGTGCAGGCGTCGCTCGGACCGTGAGTACAGTCAGCTGCAGCCGCGAGCGACCCGTGCCCGCGCACCTACTGCACCGCTGCTTGACTGTACCCAGGTACTACTTGGTACATAGTACGCAGTCTGCAGTTACATCTTGTTCTGTGATGACTCGTATATCAATAAGTATAGCGATAACGTAACGAGTGTGCGCGCTGGCTGCTCTGCGCCTGCGCACATGGCCGGGCTCTCGTTACAAACACCAATATAATGACCGGCTAATGACATCCATGTTTTATGCTTATTGCGAGTAATCGGAACCGCGCCATTCATTCCAGCCAAATGTCTGTCGAGTGGTGTGCGTGCGCGATGTGTAACTGTAGCGCTGTGGTCCACGTGTCACGTGACGGACGTGGGCATGTGTTGCGGCGCGGATGTGTAACGGTCGTAGATTCCATTGAAACTGTACGCCTGACATCGACTCGACCTTTGTTGCGTTGTTGGGAGCTGGACGCTAGCCTCAGTCCATGTGCTGCCTGGACTAGTACTAGCTCCACACGTAGAGCCCGCCTTGCACTCATCGTTTTCTGGTTGCACTCATCGTTTTCTGGTTGAGTGCCGACCAGTCGATAAATTCTCTCTTGGAATTCATTGCGTTGCATTGCTAGCATTATCAATTTGAATTGCATTTTCTATTCCGATTTCTTGTTTTTCTAATACCCATGTTCTACTATGTAGATAAATATAATATGGTTGTAAAACACACTAACAGTTCACATTATAACTGCTATGCAATATATATAGGGCTTGGCACGAAACGATAGTAAGAGATAGAGGGTCCATTATGACCTGGAAGTTGGGAAGCTCTTTGGTGTGGGACGCTACCTGCGTCAACACCCTTGCACCATCTCATCTTCCAGTATCGGCGGGTTGTGCTGGTCCGGAAACTGCCACTACAGAAAACCTCAAGCGGCGCAAGTATAATAACCAAGAAGTATTAAAAATGATATAATATGATAATAACCTTACTGGTAATTATATTTTTTAAGCCGTTTGGGGTTGAAACATTAGGTCCGCGGGGTCCGAGTGCCCATACTTTGTTTAAGAATATATAAAAATGCCTGGTCGACGTATCTCGCGACCAGAGGGCCGGTCTGTAGGTAGGGCAGTGTATATAGGGAAGTGAATATTGAGTAGATATTATAATGAAATCTTTGTAATTTCAATATTTCTGTCTAATTTTATTATTTTATTTGTTTTACTTTATTTATTCAGGAAACAAACAGTGTCTTACAAATAAATTATTACAATGTAATTTGATACAGACATACCCGGAGTTCCATAAATACATAAAAAATGGACAAAGTGTTTGCTAGAAAATTAGGTTCTGAGTAGGTATACAAAACATTTTATATGATTTCTTTATTAGCCCTGAATATATTATTACTGCTTGATTTTAGATTTATACACATTGCATTTAAACTGGTGTTAAATATGTCTAGTTCATTCAATTCAGCTTTATAAGTGCCAACACTGCGCTTGAAAAGTTGTTACTTGTGTATATTGTTCTATGAGAGGGCACTGAACACAATGTTCTTATATTATAGTCACCTAATTAGTTTTAACCCGATTCTTGAAAGGAGGGTTATCTTTGTGTTTACTCCCAAGAACACTTCGTCCGATGTTCGCGTTTTGTTGGTAATCCTTTGCTCGGAGTTATAAAACAGCTCGCTGCTCTTTCTAAACAATACAAGTACGTGTACAACATGTATGTGTGGATGCTACACGCACACACCTACACTAGTACCACACAACGGATCATAGAACTGAGATGCCTTGCACTGAATATGTTGCTATATTGTTTTGACTGTGGAACGTGTTGTTTATAAATGTGTTCTCTCTTATTCATTGACTAATATAACCAGAAAAGATTGAACACTTGATTACCCGACTCCAAAACTTTTTTTTCTAAACACATTAAGCAGAGTACGTCTATCACATCAAGGGGAGGAGTGGGGACGTGGAGTCACGTGAAGCGAATCCAACAGTGTATATGACTTGTTATTGTGACCAGTTTTCATTTCAATAAATCCATAATGAAAAAACAATAGTTCTGTCGGAGTTATTAAATTCGTTTCATTGAGTGGCTAGCCCTGAAATTATAAATTACTTTCGTCATATTACACTCAAACTCGGAACAACACTGTCGTCCTGGAATCGATCTCATGACACTACTCGCAGTAGCCGGTCAGCTTGGCCATATCACCCACCACGTCTTATAGATAGTTGACTTGACGTCACTGCCCTGTAGTTTCATGAATAAATACATATAGATTTTACCTTTCGGAAAAATTTTATTTTAGGACTTTCTTAGTTAGGAATATATGTTCTTAACTAGATATGTTTGTATATTTAGTAAGCCTGTACACCGCGCACCGTGCCAGTGACAATGTTTATTATTCTTGTACGGCCAATGTTTATTGAGAACGTATCGAGCGAGGAGTGGTCGGTCGCCGCGTGTAGTGGTCGCGGGCACGAGGAAGCAATGGTGGTAGTGGAACAATGGTCGGGTCAGATGTCGGGTCGCCGGTCGGCGGCCGAGGTGTGACGTCACGCGTCCTTGCGTCGCAGCGCTGCTGTGTCAGCACGCGCGCGCACGTGCGCACACGCGCATCTCTCGCTGAGTCACCAGCGCGCAGCGACAGTACCGGGTACTGTCACTGCCAAGGTCGCGGCACGTCCATATATTCTGTTGTTTTCTTTACAGTCACACCTACTGTCCGTACTTACTTACGTACTACTAGCCATCCAATAGTATAAGCATATACATACGGATACTATTGGATGAACAAAATGTCTGCACGTAGTTGTGTAGAGCAGACAGCAGATACATAATAAACAACATTTTTCGTTCGGTTTTTTTAAACATTATAATAATTAAATAATAGTCTGGCGTCGATTTGAATTTCATCTGAAGATGGAGCCGAGGACATTGGACCTTATACAGCTTGTATATTGTATCGATGAGGTTAAACTGTCAAACACCAAGCGGTCACCGGTGACCGCAACCTATTGTTCTATAATTGTGTCTATAAAGTCTCATCGACCTAGTCTTATTTACTTTATTTATAATGACGGTTGTGACAGTCGTTAGGGGTCCTCCCCATTACCCTCCTCCAAGTTCGTCAGTGTTGGAGAACATCATCATCTGTATTACCAATTTTGTTTCTTTTTATTCGCCTCATCGTTGTCATGTGCTGACGTATACAACAGTGTGTCGGTTGTCGTGATGTAGGCCGTTTTGAAAGAAATGTTTGCATGAATCACATTATCCGTTGTGCAATGACGTTATCATGTCGCTGGTGGCTGGTTGCTGCTTTGGGCAAAGGACAAGTATTGTCAACCAACGTGACCAACCTGTGGCTGGTCGTTTGGGTACTTTACCTCTCGACTGCGATGAAACTTTATGTTGTAGTAAAATGTTGTTTTTGTATTTTATTGAATAATCTGCAGTGTCTATACTTATGTGTAGGTAGTCTGTAGAAAACTATTCAGTTTTGCTCACCTAGGTCAGTCTATTTACCGCTTAGAAGGTATGTAGAATGTAGAATAGCAATAGCATATATATACTTTGGCACGAACAAAATATACTACAATACCAAATACTACATAAAACAAAGTAAGCTAGGAGTACTCTGTACTCTGGCGGGTTAAATATATTAGATATAAGATCAGCAGAATGTTCGATCTCCGAATGGGAGACGAGACTAGTCGTCCTGTGTGTGTTGAGAGTAGTAACGTTTGGACGCTCGGCAGTCGGCAGTCGCAGGTGCGAGTGACTTGTAACTAGCGTGTGTTGCGCAGTCGACATGGCGGCGGAGTTTTTCACGGAGGGGCGCGAGTGTGTGAACTGCGGCGCCATCCACACCCCGCTGTGGCGGCGCGACGGCACCGGCCACTACCTGTGCAACGCGTGCGGCCTCTACAACAAGATGAACGGCATGAACCGGCCGCTGAAGCAGCCGCGGCGGCTGGTACGTCAGCGCCTCGCCGCGCCCCACGCGCCCCCGCACGACGTACGCAACATGTGCTCACTAACCCCGCGTATCCCGCCCCGCGCCCCCGCGCCCGTGAGATCCGCGCCCGCCGAGCGTCCACTCCTACTGCTCGCTTGCGCTCCGCTCAGCGCTCAGTCACCCTTGTTCTGGTTGCAGTGGCCGCGGAGGGGGCCCCGCCGGGCGCGGATTTCTACAAGGGCTTCCTGTTTAACGGCATGGCGACGTCGCACGCGCACGCGCTGCCCGCGCCCGCGCCGCTCGCGCACCCCGCGCACCAGCCCTCCACCCCCTCTGACTACAAACAGAAGAAAGGGGTACGTGCCCCGCCCCACTGCCCCGCCCCACTCCCCGACCTGCACCCTCACCTAACGCCCGCCCACTAACATCCATCGCTTCTCTATCTAACATCACCGTTATAATTTTGTACTTGGTCATGCATGCAAAGTTGTCAATAGTAGTAATTTGCTGACGGTAGCGACAGTAGAGTAGAAGAAGTAACGAGGCACTTGTGGCACACAGATGGGCACGAAGCGGCCGGGCATGTCGTGCACCAACTGCCAGACGACGACGACGTCGCTGTGGCGCCGCAACTCGCTCGGCGAGACTGTGTGCAACGCGTGCGGCCTCTACTACAAGCTGCACAACATCAACCGACCGCTCGCCATGAAGAAGGACTCCATACAGGTAGGGTACATAGCTATTGCGACCTGCCTAGGAAGTTATCAAAAATGTCTTAAATCATTTCAGTGATACATACAGTCTCATTTTAGTCATAGTTACATAAAAAGTTAAACATGCCATTAATCGACTTAAATATTGGTAATACCCATGATTTACCGACCCAACATGAATATATGTAACTACCTATTCGTGTTCTTCTAATATTTGAAATCGAAGTTTCGAATATAATTTATGTATTTTTTCAGACTCGAAAGAGGAAACCCAAAAACAGTATAAAAGCAGAACGAAGTATAAAGGCAGCAGTGCAACGCACCGTCACGTCGGGAGTGAAGATAGAGAACTTGTGTGAGTACCCACAGGCCCGGCCTGGCTGCACATACCATTCTGTAGCGGTACTTAGAGTTTTCCAAAACGATACTACTCAATCTTATTATGCTAGAGCCCCAGACTTCTTAATCGGTAGGCAGTCCCGTCCTATGAATCTTAAACATGTGAGTCTCTTACTAACCGACACTTAGTTCTGACTTTGGAATAATCACGTGTAGAGATGAGATTAGATAAAAGTGTCAAAATGTGGAAAGCAAAATATGTAGCTAAAATTTCATTATGTATGCACCAAACATACTATGTAATATGCGTTAAACTGGTTTGCGTATATGCCTGGAATACGCGCTAAACATTTTCGAACAAATACGCACAAATAGATAGTTGAGAGCATGACTTTGAGTCTTCGGTGCAAATTTGGTGAAAAGTATTTTATAACAAACTTACTCTGGCTTTAAGCAGAACTTTGTCTTTCTATTAAAAATAGTTATTTTTTGTTGTATAGAAGAAGTTCTTAATTTCCTCATGAATAGATTACAATCCACATGATAACGATTTATAGAATTAATTATCGACTTACTTCTAATCGTTTGTACTGATCAAATGAGTTGCGTACTTGCTTATGCAGATCGTTACGACATATTGATTTAGTTACCCCGACAGGGTATGCAGCGATGCACATCTGCAACATAACACTTACTTTTCAGACCTTGTGCTATAGAATTATCGCATCCCTGAACCGAAAATCAAACCCGAGTTCTATATTATATCTTTCATATCAAGTCATAATATTCTTTAATTCGTAGTGTACGGTCAATCTCTCATTTCATTCTGTATCTATCATTTGTTTTATTAGAATATTGGATTTCTATCTCTTAGGCCAATATGTTATGAAAATTGTAATATTCCGGAAGCTAATAAATAATGAGGCGGCGCATCAGAGATACATGGAGGTTACACGACAGTAAACTAACACACATTACAGTTCGTGTACCTGTTAAAAAATAGAAGCGTAGGGTTACCTGATCTCATGCTATACAATGCTACGCTATGCTACGCATTGCTACGCTGTGCTACGCATTGCTACGCTGTGCTACGCATTGCTACGCTGTGCTACGCATTGCTACGCTATGCTACGCATTGTTACGCTGTGCTACGTAGTGCTACGCAAGAATAAGAATAAGAATAAGAATAAGAATTTTATTTGCTCAAACATGTGTGTGCATACAGAATTAAAATAATACAGCATGCAAGATCTTAGAGAAAAGTGGCTAACGACATGTCTGCCATTTATCATGGCGTGCAAATATCTATTATATAAAAATTTTTTGATGACTGTGAATTATTACATTAATTTTAAAATTTACACTCATACCTACATTAAATATCTGCAGTATCATTATACATTATTAATTAATTTGTTCATATTCAATTAATATTTACTAAAAATGATTCAATTATTATTATACAGATTATATATTTTACTTATTATTTAATAACATTCAATTGTAATAATATTAACAATATGTTTCTTTGTGTCCTCCACTGTGACACAACCTTAATTAGGGCAATGTTAGTTTTTATTGTTATTTATTTATAACAATCACTGACTCACTTAAAAATTCCGTTATACTGTAATAAGCTTTCTGTGCCAAAAACAATTCGCAAGTCGAGGTGTCGTCTTCGGTTCCGTTAAGTTATAGTCATTACGTCACGTTGCTGTCAGTAAAAGCCCAAAGAAGAAAGATAAACCAATCGAAATACCTGCCGAGAGAATTGAATATCACACTTAAATATAAATGCAAAAATTGTTGAATAAGTTTTTATGTATGTTTATGACTCAATGACGTCAAGAGGTGCGGGGATCGGGGTGAAACTCAGGACAGGGATAGATTGTGGTCTGCAATTACACATAGGCTACGTTTTATCCGACGAAAGCGCGGACGAAGCTGCTGGCGGAAGTTAGTCTGTAGCCGAGTCGTATTTTACACGAAGTGATGAAATGACTTCTTGTAGAATTTTGTCTGTAATAAGAACTGCTAAAATGCCGCCAGAAGAAAAAACTATTTAGTTAGGAAAATTCAAACCAAAAAAATCTGTTTCGTTGGTTAGGGAGTAGTTCGATTCTTGGGTTGGGCAAAATATTAAAGTTAAGTCTGTTTTCGGTGTGAAGTTTGGAATGATTCGTGATTTATATAGCATGGCATAATATGCATATATTTATGTATTTAAGGTGTACATTAGATATGTGTTAGATAGATGCCATAATATTATGATTATTTAATTCGTTGATCGCGCGATAATAGAACCAGCAACACATTGTTACTTTGTGCTAGTAGGCAGTAGGTACACGTGACAATCGAAATAGTAGATATTACGACCGCAGGAAAATTACCATTTTCCCTTTTCAGTTCCCTTCCCAGTCATACATGTTTGTTGAGGAGACACGTAGGTTGTGCAGCAGCATAGTGTACCCTGCGCAGTGTTTGTGGTCAGACGTGCAGTAGCTAATGAGTGTCGTATGTGCCGCAGTGGAGAGCGGGGCGGGCGCGGGCAGCGGCGGCGCGCGCTCCCCGCTGGCGCTGAACTACTACGTGCAGCACGCGCTGAAGGTGGAGGAGCCGCCGCCCGCGCACGCGCACGGCGCGCCGCCGCAGCACGCGCACGCACACGCACACGCGCACGCGCACACACACGCGCACGCCGCGCTGTACGACGAGGAGTACCGGCGCGCGGCCGACGAGCGCCTGGAGCGGCCCACCGTCGTGTCCATGGGCAGCTGAGCCGCGAGCCCGGCGCCGCACTTATAGAATCTCACTTGTCTAGATACGTTACGTTACTTAGTACATAGCGCACACTCGCACTCTTAGCTCGAAGTGAGTGTACCGACTGCAGCGGTCAGTCGTGTGTTCCCACTGTTACCAAATAATAATGATGTAATAATAAGCGATGAGACTGTATCTGCTGAATTATTCCCGGCGTTCCTAGCGCTGCATTCCTAGGTAGATATAGATAGCTTCTTATTTACATATAATTATATTATATAGTGTTCTGAAGAGGCTGTATTGAATGTTTCGTAAGTAAATTTTATTTTATGTTGATCTATACAATTTATATTTTTATAAATATTTAGCGGAGGTGTGTACTGACACGGCGGTTTATTTGAGTCGACATCTCAACACAAATATCGGCTTGAGTATTGTGCATAATACGAGCCGTGTCAGAGCGCACCGAGCGCAGCCGACATTAATGTCGCTTAGGCATATAATCGTTAACTCCATGACTTCGACACGCATTCCATGAATGATCTGACACACACAGGCCACGCCACGTCCACGCCACGTCCACGCCCACGCCAATGTCCACGTCTGCCTGTATTTGCACGCCCGACGGGCCTCTCTTGGTACCTCACCCCAAATTCACACAAACAGGTGAATCTCGTTCTCATAGTGATTCCAGTTTACAAAACAAATTATTTTATATTTCCGTCCATTACTTCCGGAGATTAATTATTAGCGTGTCCATGTGCAAACAGACAAACTGATATTTTTCCATTTTTTCTAACTGTATCTCTATCGCCCTACTTTTTTACTGGAAAATATTTTGTGTAGACGCTTTTCCGACTGTTCTATAATGTACTGATTATAAAGAAGTTTTAATTTTTATTGTAATGAAATGAAAGTGTTCCTACTGGCATTCACATTGTATAAAGTTTCGCGTATGGGCTGTGGTAGTAGGAGATGTGTGTGTGTGTGTGTGTGTGTGTGTGTGTGTGTGTGTGTGTGTGTGTGTGTGGTACTGAAGTAAGTGACCGCCGGGCCGCGGCCACCGCCCGGCCTCTAGTAACGCAAAGATCTGAAGTACCTCTCTACCGCATTAACCCGAATTATAATATAATAGTAGTGTTTAAATCAATTACTTATTTGTAATTATGTTTTTATATAATGTCGACTATTGTTGCATGTTGATAGAAAGTAATATATAATAATAAAGTTGAAGTAGCTATATGTTGAAGTGTGGCTGTCCGTCGGTGTACGTACAAGGTCTGGCGCGCCCGCGCTGTCGCCAAATGTTACAGTTTCAATACATAAAGTAAGTGTAATGATGTGATGTTATAGATATTTATGCGTTGACGGAGAGTCCTAGTTAAGTCTCATGTATCTGTGTAAATATTATGTAAGTGACAACAAGTACACCTTGGATTAAAGGTCAATCGAAACTGACGACTCCTTTCATTGAGTGCCCCGCACTCCCGCACTCCCGCAGTCCTACGGTTCCTCCTCCCTACTGGTCCCTACTCCCGCTCAGACAGGCTCGTCTCGTCTCATCTGTAAAATTACAGTACGTATTTAAGTAAACAGTATTTCATTTTGACTACTTCAATCTCTTCGGAATGAGTTTTGTAATATTTTAATGGACTTTACAAGTCTGAGAATAAAGGAAGGTAGTGCATTTGTGTGCAGATATTTTGTAACTTGTAAAAGTACACATGTAGCGAGCGCGTTGTTTAGTGTGCGCATGCTCAATAGGTGCTCGTCACCACGTCCCTATCCACAATTTGTTCTTCGTAACGTCGAGTCGGTAAGTAGTACATACAATGTAGGTACCTATATTGTTTGCTAACTTCGGCTAACGCGTGGAGTACGTGACAAAATATAGAACGCACACATGTACACATACTTACAGGGAGCGACTGCGACGAGTGCTTCAGGGGGCGCGGGGACAGGGGGGTGATACACTGAAACAATATGGCGGCTTATCAGCGAGCATCGCGTCACGTGCGTGTCTCCCCGCGCACTCCGCCCGCGCCCCCGCGACACCGCTCTTTATTAGCTTTTCACGGAAAATATTCGACGAAAAAAACAACTGATAAGATCGCGATGAGGTCGAGCGGCGCCCATCAATAATCCGTCGATGTATCGGCTATCAGATCCGGAGCGGGGATTACGGCGACCTACCTACCGAGCGACACTGCGACACCGCCGCATCGAGCACCGCGCCAGGTCTCGGGGCGGGCGCCGTGCCGACTGTAATGAGCAGCATATGCGTGCTCTCCTAATCAAATCTCTAGGCCTTCTATCTGATAATTACTCTTTATCGGGGATGGTATCGCGGTATCTCGGCTCCAGATACGAGGCTCCTGCGGGGCGCGCGGCCGCGGGGTGTCACTGCGCCGGTACTCGGCGACGTTCCCTACAAATATTTGCCCGCGCTCGTCGCTCGGCGCTTGTTTGCCGACGTTATCACGTCACGCGAACACACCCAGGCGACCCCTCGCTTGCACAACGCGCGGCCCGAGCCTCGCAGCCGGCCGCGGCACTCGGTGTCGGTACAGTACCCTGGTATTACATAGTTTCCACTTCATGCAGTACTGACATTGCCGGCATTGTCCGGCGACGTACCGGACCGGACGCGGCACGCGTGCATCGCGGCGGCTCGCATGCACGCTTGTACTATGTAGTAACAACAGCTGTTCAGCTAGATACAGTATCTGTTAGATACGATTATCAAAACTTTAAGATAACCGGTCTCACATTAGCGCCTAGTTAAGATAAACGAGATAACAATTTGCATATCTAAAGAAAGGCGCGATACTAAGTGGTGTATCAATGGGGTCGATGCACTGTACACACACTAGATACGAGTATCGCACCTCCCATGGAAGTATGTGTAATTAGATTAGAGGGCGGCGGGCACGGACGCGCTCCTCTGCCGAGCTCCCGTGTCGCAAGCAGCCCACATACTGACACATTGTGCAACTCTCATTTTCTCAACACAACCGCGACTCACTTCCTACAATTTATTCAAAATTCCGTTACAAAATAGACTACAAGTTAAGTAACAAATGTTCAGGAAGTTCAGTTTCACTGTCTGCAGTCAGCCGAGCTCGTCGATTGATTCAATTACCTCTATGAAACCTGAACTATACCAATATTGCACGTAACAAATGAACTCGACTTAAACAAAACACCAACAAGGTTCATATCATTCGACGTAATATCATGAACTTACATACATATAACTAATATGTATGTGCGCACTGCTGAGCAAGTCTCTTCACACACGGAGAAGGTTTTAGCACTGACCAAAGGTTGCTCAATGCGTGTAATTCAAATTGACCTCAAACTTCTAATTTCATATTATATGTCTGTCTGGGTTTCCTTACATTGTTTTCTTTCACCGCATGTCAGTAGTGAGTGCCTAAATAATCTTAGTAGGAACATATCATTCGCAAAAGTTGCATAAGTACTTGTCAGGTTCGAAAACCAGCGCCCTTATGCATAAGAAGCTTTAGCTCCGGTCCACCCGATTCCACCATACAATGGTAATGGGGGAGGCTGCTTTTATATACATAAATACGTAAGTATCTACAGGATAGTGCAGAAATACAACAAGTAGTAGTTGTGATGAGGTCGCTAGTGACAAAGTGCGGTCTGTAGTGTTCGTGCTCCAGTTAGTGGCCGAGCAACGCCGGGCGGCGTGAGAACCCGCTGCTATCTGCCAGCTACATTGACGAGTCCGTGACAGGTGCGATAGCGTGCCTGCACGACACTCTGATGTAAGCAGTAACACTAGATTATGATGACAATGCCCATTGCCCATGCTACATACATAGCCATTCGAATTACAAAATTGACAAATCTTGTGTCATTCAAAATTTAAATATTGACCTTTATACCTATCCATAAAAGTGTGTAGGAAATAATACTTTATGGTTAATTACTGCTACAATAAGACTGGGTTCACTAGAGCAGGAGTAGTGGCCTGTAGGGCGGCGGTGGCCAGTTGAGCAAAGTGTCGTAAGCCCCGCTCCGTGGTTACATAAGCAGCCGCTTGTCTTGCCGAGATAACGACATCACAGCGACACAGTTTGACACGCGACGTGACTCATCTTCGACAGCTCGCTACAAGTGCCGTCAGATTAATGTTTTGACAAGTTGACGTCTCTCATGATCTAATGATCGCATTTTACCCGTAGGTGGACCGCTGGACGACACAAACAAACCGAGTTCCAGTCTATCACTAGACACAGAGACTCCTGCATCAATACTTACTGCGATACTTCTTAATGTGTTTCTCAGACTGTAGCAGCAAGCAGTAACGGACGTAACAAAACTTTCAACTTCACAAGTCCGCCATCCAGCCATCTCTGCACGTACTCTAAAGGCAACAATTTCATTTGAGAATATATAAAGTACTAACAGCGTATTCCTTTTTAAAAGGGCGGCAACGCACCTGTGACTCCTCCAGTGTTGCGGGTGTCCATGGGCGGCGCTGATCGCTTACCATCAGATGATCCGTCTGCTCATTTGCCTCCTATTCCATAAAAAAGAAGGTATTTGTATTATAACTTTCGTGAGACATACTAAATAAATTATTATGTTTTCGGCTTACTCACGTAGTAATTCGACGAGGAACTCGACTAGTTTCAAGCCATGCTAGAGGCTCATATTCATGAGCAGCATTTCGCGACCCGCGACGCGGCGACTGTCGCGCTGCTACTCGTGGTAGCTACTAATTACTACGTGAGTAGGCCGAAAACATAATAATTTAAAAAGAAGATAGGTTATGGTAGATGGATAGTTTTTACTTTAGTGGTAGGTTTGAGTTATGCTACGGCGTCCTCACCCACCGCCTGACGCAGGTGCTTACCTCCGGGCTTACCGTGCTTAAATGGGAGTTTCGGGAGGTACCCGAGGCCTCCCCACAGGACGGCGAGCATGGGTACCTCGCCGCCCGGTCAGAACCAGACACGAGCGTGCGGCCCGTCGCGTTCCGCGCGCTCATTACAGAGCCTTTAGACCACCAAAGATGGGGCCGAATAGAACTGATGCCGATACGGAGCCGGAGGGACTCCGGCTCAAAGTGCAGGAGTAGGAATGACCCCATTTCTACTCCTGCACGGTTTTCAGTCAGTAAGAGTCTAACATTCCTTCTCGCTTCACCCGTGCTGGAGAAGTAATTCGATGATTTTCCGCCCTTAAAAAAAGTCTATTGAAGTGTCCACTCACTGTCCAATAAACCTATATTCTTGAAAAAATAATCATGTACATACATACAGTACTATTTACCACAATTATACGTACAATGTACCTATTGGGGTTTAGCAAGTACTGTAATACTTGTACATAATTTATAGACTCAGGGTTGCGACTGAGGTGCTGTCCGCTCAGTAAGTGTTTCTTTTAAGTTCTGGATATCAAACAGAACATATATATTAAAGTCGCTAGTACAATAACAAGGTGGTTTGCTATTGAGTAAATAATAGTGATCAAGCAATAACGGCTGAATCATTCAGCGTCGAGGACGACATACCACGATAGGTAATCACACGTACTTACACACACAGACGCACGCAAACACTATCAGTGCCGTCAAGTGCGCAGATAAGACAAGCGCTGTGTGCTCCTCCACCGCGCACTGAGCCGAACGAGTCCGTGCTGCAGCAAGCGGGCGGACGCTGCATTCTGCACCAGGACATGTAAGCGCTGGCGTTGGAAGGGAGCCTGCACGTGCTCTGTACACTGTACGAAGCAGAATGCTCAACCTCTGACTCAAGAGACTAGTATCTGCGCAGGTCATGTTGGTTGATGGTCGGCCACGATCCGTGCTGGTTGTGACGAGAACGTTCATGGAATGTTCTCGACAGAGCAGCGCTGCAGGTCCTCACTGAGTCACAGCCGCTTACCACGAAGCCTGTATTAGGCGCGTGTGTCATGCGCTCGCCAGCGCCGCGTCATCCCATCACTTACATACGGTTGTTTGCTTACATCGCCAAATTATCGTTAGCTACATGAGTATGGTGAACTTACATAAACTATTTTTGGTCGGTATTTAGATAATGTTATATTTCGGACTGATAACATCCATCTACCAACATTAATGCCTCTTTTTAGAATTAGAGTACTCGTACCTGCCTGATAGATATAACTAGGTCATAGAAAACCCAAACATATAGCGAGTAAACTATTGTGTAATTTGATGTGGCAATATTGGCTACGATGTTCGTAGCCATACTACGCAGTACTACGCCGTACTACGCGCTACTACGTATTACTACTCGCGGCTACGAATTACTACGTACGCACGGAATCGACATTAATCAATTGTAACAATAAACATTTTTTTATGTTATTCTTGTCCGGTTGTCGTGCTACGCGTTAAAGGTTCGACTCCCAGAAAGGAAAATTAATATAAATAGATTTTTTTAATATAATGTTGT